TGAGTGGTTTAAAAAATTCAAAAGTGGCGATTTTGACGTGAGAAACGAAGAACGTGGAAGACCACCGAAAAAGTTTGAAGACAGCGAATTGCAAGCATTGTTGGATGAGGATGACACTCAAACGCAACAACAACTCGCGGATCAATTAAATGTGACACGAGAAGCCGTCTCCATACGTTTGAAAGCCATGGGAAAGATCCAGAAGATGGGAAAATGGGTTCCACATGAACTGAATGAAAGACAGCAGGAAAACCGAAAAACCACTTGCGAAATGCTGCTCGCCAGGTACAAAAGAAAGTCATTTCTCCATCGAATTGTGACTGGCGATGAAAAGTGGATATATTTTGAGCATAATCCTAAGCGTAAAAGATCATGAGTAACTCTAGGCCAACCATCGACATCGACTGCAACCCTTATAGAAATTTAAGACTGATAATTTAAGTGATAATTTGGCCAGCGATAATTACTGTCGTTCAATAATTTTATTACTCGTACGAGTAATAAAATTACTATTTATTACTGGTAAATTTATCACAGCCAGTGATACTTTTCTATAAGGGAAGGCTAAATCGCTATGGACGGAAGACAATGTTCTGTGTTTGGTGGGGACAGAAGGATGCGATTTATTATGAGCTGCTAAAATCTGGCCAAACCGTTAATACTGAACGCTACCGACAACAAATGATCGATTTGAATCAAGCTTTGCGTGAAAAACGACCAGAATATAAAAAAAGGCAACACAAAGTGATTTTGCTTCATGATAATGCACCATCACACACAGCAAAACTGGTCAAGGAAACGATTGAGGCGTTTAGTTGGGAAATACTTTCGCATGCGGCTTACTCACCAGACTTGGCTCCGTCCGATTACTATTTATTTGCATCGATGGAACACGCACTTGCTAAGCAGCGCTTCACTTCTTACGAAAATGTACGAAAATGTACGATGACTAGTTTTCCTCAAAAGAGCAACAGTTTTTTTGGCGTGGCATCCACAAATTGTCAGACAGGTGGGAAAAATGTATAACTAGCGATGGGCAATACTTCGAATAAAATATTTTTTATCATTTTCATACAATAAACGTGTATTTTCTATACAAAAATTCCGGTTTCATATCTACATACCTGGTATAGTCTTTATCTGTCTGCTTATCTATTTTTCATTCGCTGTTTTTTCAAACGCGGTTTGCTTCGTAAGCAGTATCACTTTTGTCTTTTTATGTGAATAAGAAAAAATCGGAGCGAGAATTTTTCTCATTATTTCAGATCTCTACTTTCTTGTCACAACGGTGTTTAACTGTCAATATTTGTTACTTTTTTTTTCAACAAGATTCATAACAGATAATTGAAATTTTAGCCGTCCTCAAAATGACCTACAAGGTGTATGTGTGAGTACAGGTTAAACTGTAATAAGATGACTTCTTTTGGTTTTCACTCGTCGTTAATTATGGATTTGGACTTTTGGCTATCATTGCAATTTTTTTACAAATTCTTCGGTAGTTTTGAAAAATTTAACAAAATTCTGGAATTTGTGTCTAATGTCCGTATATATTAGCCTTTAATATTATAGCAATTTTTCATTAAAATCCTAAATGTAATTTGGCAATTGAAATTAAAAATATGATGTCCTCAATCTGATATAGGGAACATATGTTAGAAATGTCAGCTTTTATAACAAATAATAATATCAGCGTTCGAATGGTCAATCTACTTATAATTGCGCCACATTTAAGTCTGCATATAGTGCAAGTTTCAATGAATTCTTAAAAAACTCGTTTTAAGCTACAACTACTTTAGGGTGGTTCAAAGTCGATCGGATTTACAGATTGTACTGCATGTCCCAAGAAACATAAAAGGGTGAAAAAAGAAACTATTAAGACCGACATTCCGTTGCTAGTCGCTGCTTGGAGCTTCTCCTCCTTCGACATCGCGGCGCACACCCGATCAATATGCTAATCCCCGAGGGTCATAACACTTATCGTACGCGGCGGCACAACGGCGGTTCGACGAATTCGGAGATCAAAGCGACGCAACCCTTCCCCACGACATTATACGCACACGTCGCCCTCGTCCGCGGTCGTACTCTCGTCGCGCTCTCCCTGCACCCCTCCGCGAAATCCACTCTCTCCGCTGCGAATCCGCCGCAATTGCGGGGCGTCGGAAGAATTTGCATCGGTGGGGACGCTCCCGCGCGTTATCGCCGTAATTTCCATGGAACACGCCGGATGCCCCCGAGGGTGCGCGCGCTCGGGGGTCTAACGCATTCCATTTGCGTAACACTCCCGCCGCCACGCTTACGAACCGAAGTGTTTCTCCAGGTCGGGGTTGATGTTCAAAAGGAGAGCGCTCGCGATACACACACACACATACATACAGGACCGGGGAGACGTACATACACAACGGGGGCGAGCGGACGCGCGTGCAGCTTCGTCCTGAATAAAAGATCGTTTTGAGAATCAGCGTGCACCGGCCGCGCGGGATCGTATGGCAAGGCGCGTGGGGGGAGGGATAGCGGGGGTGGGGGCGGGGGGCAAAAATCGCGTATCGGATGCTGGTTAATTCATGGCAGCCGGGGGATCCCGCGGGATAGACGAGCAAAAAGAGGGCGGAGAGTGATAAAGTACGTTTCGAGGTACGAGTCCCCTTGTCTCCCTGCGGCTTTCACGTACGTACAGATGTAAGCGTGCAAGAGCGCCTGCCCCCTCCTTTCCTCTCTTTTCTTTTCCTCCCCCTCCTCCATCTCCTCTCTTCCTGCTCCTCCTGAGATACAGGCTCGATTTTTTGTCGGCTAGTTCTGAGATATTTCGCGGGCTGAAAGAAGACAGGTCAAACCCGAGGATCGGTGAGAGCGTCCGGCCGAGCGTGCCGGGGCGAATTAAAGTTTAAAAGGCTTCAGCGCGAAGCTGTGACCTCGCGAATCTATCCAGAGAGGAGTCCGGGGGTCTTCTGGAAGTTTCAGCTTGGCTTTGTCGCCGCTTAACCCTGGGCGAGTGATGCGCGACGCAATGGGACACTCGCGATAAGCGAGTTCTGCCCTTCGCGTCGTGAGGGATCTCCGTTGTGACATTAAATCGACAATATTAATTCGCCCTCGTTATTCCCTCGGTCGATTCTGCGATTCTTGGGTTCCGCGAAAGCGCGTCCAGGGAACAACGCCTCTCCTCGACGGCGAGTCGTTCGATTCTCATGTCGCGGCTGGTGTCGGACAAATGCGAAAGGGACACGCGACTAATCGGCGAAATTGGACTTTTACGCGGGGTCGACGCGCGTGAAATTTAAAGTAACCTCGTTTGTGTCTTTGAGAGACTCCTGCATTGTTCTCCACACCGATTGTCGTGCATATCCGGCGCTTTGTGAGTCGCTTTCAATACAGAGAAAACAAGAGCTTCAAGAACATAGAAAAAGCGGACTTCACACTTACGGAAATGAACTACAACAGCTAAAGCAAAATAATTATGCATACATAATCGTATATTTAAATAATTAAAATATCAATTTAAAATACCAATTTAAATAATTGTTATATGCAATATTTGAATAACCACTTTTAACAATAATTTTTATAAGTGCGTTGCTATCGCCGGCATTAATATTAACTGATATACACCATGGGGACGTTGCACGGTTGGATTTTGCATATCTTATGTAAATGTATGTGTGTGTGCATGAGTGTATGCATATGTATGTGTCACAGCAGAGATAAAGACCCCACGGTTCGTCACTCCCGCAGTATTTAACGACTCCAAACTCTCTTTGCTGTGCGTTTGTGCGCGCGCATGGTGTGTTTATCATTTCTAACATCTCGGGAAACATGTCTTGTTTTTCGTATTCATTTTTTTGTTTTTAAATTAGAAATTACCGGGGTCAGAGGAGACTGATGTAAAATATCTTCATTAGTTTTTACGTGAACTCGTGTGGAAATCCCTACCCGGAATAGTTTAGATGCTTATATTTTAAGATTTTTAAGATATTTAAGATATTTTAAGACTTTTTTTAAATTGATTTATAATTTAGTTATCAGGATTTTCTTCGAGACATTAAATTAGATTGTCAAACCTTAAATACTATACTATTATAATTAAATATTATACTATTCTTTGATTCGGCTATGGATTTTTTCAACCCAAACATTAGTCCACTTGGCGTAAACAAAGTTGGTGTGATAATATGCAAACAGCAAAGAAGTATACTGTCTTGAAAGTAGATAATTACATTGATGGAAATCCAGTATTGTCTAATTTGCAATATTTATGGTTATTTTATACACAGATTATAATATTTTTGAAAATAATATACTATTTCTATGATGTATGAAATTATATACTATTTCTATGATGTTTGAAGTCACTTGCAAAAATATGATTAAAAAAAATTTTTTTTGGGTTTATGTCCAAAATTTCATGTATTTGGTCTACTGTGCGCTGTGACATTCGTGACAATTCGACGAGCTGTCGTCGTTACGGCAATGTATAGAATGTGAAATAATTTTGCAGTCGATATTTCTATTGAGAATGGACGATGAGGGGGAAAAAGTCGAGAAAAGATGACAGCGATAAAACAATAAACCATTTATATCTCGCAATGCACAGTACAAGTACCGAGAAAATATCGCGAGATAAGTGCTGATTATATTTCCACGACAATAAACAAAAGATGTGGAAAGACAGACAGTCCCTATTCCGAGAAATCAACGAATCAACCGTGCGACTCTCGAGATTTCGAGATCCGTTTGAATAAATCCCAGAATCGAAACTAAACGAGGAACGATGTCACGTTGATTCGATGGAGTCCAATCAAAATTGGATCAAGGGGAAAAAAGAGCGCGTGGATGGAAGAAAGCGCGATAGCTCTGAGAAAAATCCTAGAAAGGAGACCTCTGTCGAGAATATACAGACGACGGATCTCGACAGATCGTGCGATCTCATCGTCTCTCCTGAGCGATAACGCTTCCTTGGACCTGCCAGCTCACGTGTTGCGAGAATAGAAAGCGACAGCACTCACCGCACACGCCCTGATGCTTCACCCTGGTGTTTTTCCTCTTCTGACAACTGGCCTGCCGCAGGTGACAATAGTTCGTGTAGGTCACGTCGTCCGAGCCGCAGACGGGATCAGAAGTCGCAGGACAGTCCGCAGGACATTGGCACTGAGCCTTGCCGTCGGACACGATGCACGTTGCGCCCCAGGCGCAGTAAGTCTTCTCGCAGGGTTCTGAAATGAAAGAGGCGCGTCTCGTTTATTTCGTGTCGCTGACCGCAAAGCCGATGTACATACATGGACGACGATTCGCCCCGAAATAAATTCACTGGAACAAGTCCAAAAAATGTTTTCTATACCACATTGTTTTAATAAGAAGAATATTCACGTAAAGATTATGTAGGAAAGAGAAAAGAGTACTTGGTTATTCATAATTATGATTGAATACATGCAATATACTGAAAGAATCGTGAAGAAAGAATAATGGTCAAAAGAAGCATTTTTGTAACAAGTGTCACCCCATAATAATAATGAATTCTCATGCGCACATTGCTATGCGTAAAAGAAACATCTAGAAAGTAAAAAAAATATTCGGTGATACGATAAAATGTAATAAAATATAATAATAAAATATAATAATAAAATATAATAATACATATTATTAATATTAATTTATACATATTATTATTAATAATACATATTATAATAATACATATTATTAATAAAATATCTATTTAAATATCCACTTGTTAATTAAAATAAAATACCTACTTAAATATCAATTTATTAATTTAAGTAGAAGAAACAATTGTTTCATGGAAATTTACGGAAAATGGAATATTTAGGAAAATGTATATTTTCTCATAAAACGATTGTTTTTAGTGCAAAAATATATATATTATACTGGAAAAGAAATAACTGAAAACTTATTTGTAAGATATAAAGTTTATTTCTGTAAATAAACTTTACATCCCATATGTTTTTAAGTATTTCTTTCTTAATTAAAATTCTAGTATAAATAAAAAATATGTTTATAATTGCCTAACAAAATATAAATACTTTATTTCTTAGAAGAGAATTTATATCTTCTCATTGAAAAAAATGTCTCTCAGTGTAAAAAAAAAAATATATATATATTAGTATAAGTAAATATATTATATATAATAATATTTACACAGAATAAAAATGTTTTATTTCTTAGAGATTCTTTCTCTCAGTTTCTATTGTTAGAATAACAAGAAGCTGGTCTAAAAATGATTACAATTTTAATAGGATTAACTATGTTTCTTTCAATTTATTGAACTACAAAAACTGGAATTTGATGAATCGGGATAACGCAAAAAAGTTAGTTGTGTTGTATCGAATTCTGATTTTTAAAATCCGCAGTCTTCAATCCACAATATCTTCCTCAAAGTACAGTATTTTTCAGATTTTCCTAATCAAATCGTTCAGAACGAATCATCGTCCATGTAAGTATATAATATTCCAAGTCGAGTTAATGTTAGTGGATGGACGAATCGCGCTCGTTCTCGCTCGCATTCATGGCGAGCAGAGCTCCAGGTCGGGAAAGCGTTAAACGACTTTATCATGGTAATCGGTGCGCTTTTTCCGCCCGGTTAAAAATGGCCCGGCCCGCGTAATCCCTCCGAGCCTCCTTAGAGCCGGGCCCTGCCATTTAATCGACTTCGTGGAGCGTTGCGCGGCTGAGAGTTAACAATAGACAACAATTTTCGGACAATGGCAGCTTTCCTTTCGGAACGAATCGCGAGCGGCGCTTGATAGCGCTCGCTGAAAAGCGTCACGTGGCGCCGCCACGTCGTTAATTGTTAATTCTGCTTAAGCACCGGCCATGTTTCCGCCGCGGAGGAAACCAGGAAGTCGGCCCAAGAAATCGTCGAGAGCGAGGGGAGATAAAATCTCCGCTGCTCGGGGCTTGGGCTTTACGGCCGGTAGTCTCTGCTTATCGTACACATCCTCCTGATCCTGTGTTCATTCGAGTAAAGGCCGATTCGCACGTATGTGGAACTGTATACGCCAACTACACCGTCGTTCCTCGAGCTTCGATCGCCCCCGTCGGCCGCGTGTTGATATCGTCCTAATAACGCGCCATACACGGAAGCTTACTATTTTTTCCCTCCCAATGGGGCCGTCACGGGGCAAGCATCCTCCGATGGGAGAACGTCAATTACGGCGGAATTACTCGGCAAAAACAATTAGCGACCGACACATCGCTCTCTCCCTCTCCCTCTCCCTCTCTCTCTCTCTCTCTCTCTCTCTGTCCCTTTCTCTGTCGCTGAGAGACCGAATTTCTTCGATCTCTCGCTTCCTCTGCTCCAAATCTTGAGGGACCGTTATCATCCTTTCCATTATTTTTTGCTCCGACCTCTCTTCATCGAAGTCCGTTGACCGCGCGATGGAACATCGCGATGCAATAGCGTATGATCGTCTCGCAGGGAAGTATGAAGATCCCATTAGAAAGTTTCTTGAGATATTAGGTCGTTCATTAAATTCTGCGATTTTTTGCCTTAAATTGAAACACAAATCTACCGCAGAAACTTAATGAACGACTTAATATAATCGAGATCCAGCTCGATTCTTAAAAATAATTAGGCGAGACCGGGGCTATATGGCCCCAGGAATATGTTGCCCGTGCGCTTTTCTTAATATTTATTTTGAGGAGAATAGTAAATACAAAATTGCAAGATGGTCCTTTTAGAACATAAATACTATTTCCTGAGTTTCATTAAAATCGAAATAATATTACAGTTAAACAATATAAAAAACTGATTTGGTAATAGCAAAGTAAATTTCCGAATCTTTTGAAATTTTCTATATGTTTTCTATTTTCTAATGTTCTTCATCGTGACTGAAGAAAATTAAGCGATGTGTTATTAGCTAGAATGAACATTCTTGCAAGTATATGATATACTGTTTCTGATAATAAATACAAAATTTTCATTCAAAATGCTTGAAATAAGGCGAACGAGGTAAAACTGCTCTATAATTAAGAGCCGACAACAGGACTGTGGAGACTTCTCGCGAAGACTCTGAAATTACTAATCAGGATACATATTTGATTTGACCTTGTTTACTCTGCGCTTCTGGGCTGCTAAACCCGGTACCAGAGCAAGATGATTATGTTGTTGCATGATTGTATTTTGGTTATTACAAAACAAAATATACAATTAACAGTTGTAGCGGGATTAATACATAGAAAGAGATTGCCTCTATCACGTTTACAGAGTCAGTCACAATTAGTTGCCTGAGAAGTTGTAACTTCGCAATTCTAAAATATAGGCCATCTAGTCCCGGTCTCCCCCATGGCTCGTATCAGATTATCCTAACTTGTTCCAAATAGGCCTATCGTATCGTGATACCCCAATCGGAGAAACTCATTCTTATCCATAGAAACTTCCATTCTAACCATAGAAACTTTTCTGGAATCCAATTGGGGATTTATTCCGACTTCTTAAGTAATTGAAGTTGCTATTCTAAGTGGAAAACCTGTAGGCAAAAGAAAAGTTGCGTGAGGAAAGTGAAAGGATAAGAAAAGAGAGCCACAGAGAATAACAGAGTAATAATTAGAAATTTTATTATGATTTATAGAAACTATAAATTTTCTATGATTATAGAAACTATAAATAGCATCTAAAACAAATAAGATCTGTTCTTTTTAAAAAATAAGCTATCGCATAGTCATTTTCATAACTTACTTCAACTGTTAATTGTAAATAATTAATAAATATACTGCGATGTTTAATGTGATCTTAAAAGATTTTATATTTGGAAAAAAATATATTATATATTGTTTTATTTAAAATATTTATAATTTATTTCAAAAAGATATTTTAAACAAAATATTTTTTCACAATTTGAGTATTTATACTTTTCGAATATTTATACTTGTAAAGTATATATAAAATACTTAAAATGTTTGAGATATTTGTAAATATGGAATAGAAATAAAAAAGGAATTTTTGGGGAACATTTGATAGAGCAACTGGAATCTGTTTGAAAATCGATGTTTTCCACTTAGAATCGTATTTTTAAAATATTGCATATCTAAAATTTCCGAATTCTCGTACACCCAAAAAAAAAAAAATTCTATTATTTAACAAGATCTACTTAGTTCTAGAGAATTCTCCACTTATATACGATCTCAAGAAGATAGTCTAATATCTAGAGGAATATCCTATAACTTTAACACACTCGATTTAAAATTACAATCCTCTTAATATTAGATTTCCACTTATTATAAATCTAATAATATACTTATTTATAGCATAAAAAGTTAAAGCATAAAGTTAGGTACTTATAACTTATACTTTATAACTTATATCTGATCTAATCTAAATCAGAAGAAGAAGGGCGCATACTAGGTGGCGGCGGGGGACGCCACGCGTTCGGGATCTGCGTTTTTTTTCGTTGCACAAAGAGAAAAATATCCAAAGTGCGATTTGTTACAGGCCGGAACTCAAACTCGGATCTTTTCGCAGTATTGTATCTCCTTTCAATAAGCGCGTATACCGCTAATATTTTGTATATCCTCTTCTTTTAAGAGGATATTCGGATTCCTATTGCATAATTTCCTATTGAGGAATTTACTCTTGATTATAGCTTACGCGTCCACTTTTTTACAGATGAATAATGACGTGTTTAAGAAGAGTACACTTCATATAAGATTTTTTACTTAGAAGAGACGCTTAGAGGAATTCCCCGCTTATGAATAGAACATTTTTTGTTGGGTATAGTTTTTCCAATCAATACCCATCACTTTTCTTTTGGGAAACCGAAATGTGTTCCAATAAAATTTCAGAAAATAGATTTAAAAATGTGGTATTCAAAATGAGACTCTCCCTGTTTGATATCATAAAAGTATCATAAGATTGAACAAAAAGAGAGAAACCCATAATTCCTATAATTCGATTCTAAACAGAGAACCTATGTTTGGAATTCGCAATTGTTATTGTAGTAACCAATTAGAGAGACCAATTCAGGCATTTTAATCGAAATTTACGCCGTGTTTGGCAAAATTTCAGCGCGCGTTCTGTTGATCGCGCAACGTAACATTGCAATTCACACAGCAACATGTAAACATCGCAAAGGGAAGCATGAAGACTCGTGTATCCAAGAATTTTCATATTTATAATAACACGCCACTCGTTGTAAACGGAGTTTAATTATCATTCAACACGGGCTTAAATCCATCTCGCTTCCGCACCAGCTCCGTCTTT